GAGAGAGGTGCAGCTCGTCTCTCTTTTTGTGTGTGTGTCTAGGTGAGAGAGAGAGAGAGATGGAGGTCATGTCTCTGTTCGTGTGTGTGTGTGTGTGTGTGTGTGTCTGGGTGAGAGACAGATGGAGGTTGTCTACCTGTCTCTGTGTGTCTGTCTGTGTGTGCGTGAGAGAGAGAGATGGACGTCGTCTCTGTGTGTGTGATAGAGATAGATGGAGGTAGTCGAGATATGTGTGAGAGAGAGAGACGGACGTAGTCGCTGTGTGAGAGTGAGATTTTGATGTACAAATGTGCTTATCTCTCTGAAGTAAGCATTTTAGTATAACCAGCATGAAAAATTGAGTCATTTGGTGCCAGTGACTGTTTGGGTGTTCCAAAGTGCTTATCTCACTGAAATAAGCATTTTAGCATAACCAGCATGAAATTTAAGTCAACAAGGTGCAGGGCTGGATGAACACAGCAGGCCTAGCAGCATCATAGGAGCAGAGAGGCTGACGTTTCGGGCCGAGACCCTTCATCAGAAAAGGGGGAGGGGAAGGGAGTTCTGAAATAAATAGGGAGAGAGTGGGAGGTGGATAGAAGAGGGATAGAGGAGAGGATAGGTGGAGAGGAAACAAACAGGTCGAAGAGGCAGTGATGGAGCCAGTAAAGGTGAGTGTAGGTAGGGAGTTAGGAAGGGGATAGGTCAGTCCAGGGAGGACGGACAGGTCAAGGGGGCGGGATGAGGTTGGTCGGTAGGCATCTCCTAACTCCCTACCTACACTCACCTTTACTGGCTCCATCACCGCCTCTTCGACCTGTTTGTTTCCTCTCCACCTATCCTCTCCTCTATCCCTCTTCTATCCACCTCCCACTCTCTCCCTATTTATTTCAGAACTCCCTTCCCCTCCCCCTTTTCTGATGAAGGGTCTCGGCCCGAAACGTCAGCCTCTCTGCTCCTATGATGCTGCTTGGCCTGCTGTGTTCATCCAGCCCTGCACCTTGTTGTCTCGGATTCTCCAGCATCTGCAGTTCCTACTATCTATGAAATTTGAGTCGTTTGGTGAGAGTGAGATTTTGATGAACAAGTGTGCTTCTCTCACTGAAATCAGCACTTTAGTCAAACCAGCATGAAAAATTTGAGTCATTTGGTGAAAGTGAGATTTTGATGTTCCAAAGTGCTTATGTACCACAGCAGGTTGTTTTAACTGCACCTTTATAAAGCAGCCTACTCGACAGACTGGCAAAAATTATACACCTGAAATACTGGATGTTTACTGTATTCTCGTGATCTCTGCAATGTCTGAGTAGTCAGTTAAGGGTGCGAGTGAGAAGGCTGAGTTTTATTGAAGACAAAGTTGTATTATTGATTTTAAACTGTAAATAAAGTATAACCCTCACATTACATTTCTATTGCTCAGTGTGTATTTTTACATTGATTATGTGGACATCTTGATCAACTGTCACACTCCTGGTCCCATAGGTGCCTGTTAATGATGAAAGATTTGCTGTATTACAATAATCGTGGGGGACTTCACAATGCAGGTGGACTGGGAAAATCAGGTTGGTTCCAGATCTCAATGAAAGAAATTTGTGGAATCGATACACAATGGTTTTTTGGCAACAGCCTTGAGGTGGAGCCCACTAGGGAACATTCAATTCTGGATATGGTGATGGTGAAATAAGGCAGATTTAATTAGGGAGTTTAAGGTGAAGGAGCCATAGGACACAGTGACCATATTATGATAGAATTCACCCTGCGGTTTGAGAGGGAGAGTCTGAAATCAGATGCAATAGTGTTACAATTCAGTAAAGATAACTCTAAAAGACATGAGGGAGGAGCTAGCCGGAGTTGATTGGAAGGGGAGCCTAGCAAGAAAGACGGTGGAGTGGCAATGGCAGGCACTTCTGGGGGTAATTTGGGAGCAACAGCAGAAATGCATTCCAAGGCAGAAGAAACACAGTGAAAGGTCAGAAGTCTCATGGCACCAGGTTATAGGCCAACAGGTTTATTTGAAATCACAAGCTTTCGAAGCGCTGCCCCTTCGTCAGGTGAAGTGTACGGGGAGGACGAGGCAACCATGGCTGACAAGGAAAGTAGGAACAGCATAAAAGCAGAGAATGTGGTGAAGAATAGTGGGAAGCCTTTTAAAAAGCAGTAGGGGATAAATAAAAAGCAATAAAAGTGCAGAGAATGAATTTGACAGGAAGCTAGCTTCCACTACAAAAGAATTTTTTTGAGATATCTAAAAGGTAAGAGAAAGGCAAGAGTGGCTGCTGGAAAATGAGGCTGGAGAAGTCATAATGGAGGAAAAAAGGAAACAGCGGTGGGACTGAATAGGTACATTGCATCAGTTTTCACTGTGGAAAACACCAGCTAAATTCCAGAACTTCAAGAGGGGCAGGAGGCATAGGCAAGTGTAGTGGCAGTGACTAAGGAGAAGGTGCTGGGAAGCTGAAAGGTCTGAAAGCGGATAAATCACACGGCCGCATGGACTAAACTGCAGAGTTCTGAAAGAGATAGCTGAGGAGACTGTCGAGACATTGGCTAAGGTAACGCCTCTGTTTCTGGCCTTCTGCCTCCCTCTTAAACAATCAGCCAGTTAGCGTGACTTGGTCGTTGGTAAGATTTTAGTGTCCATTTTTTAGGATGAGATTGTGGAGTACTTGGAAATGTATGGTAAATTTATAGTTGAGTCAGCATGGGTATCCACAGGGGGAAGTCATGACTGACAAATGTTAGAATTCTTTGACAAGATAACGAGTTAGACAAAGGAGAGCTAGTGGACATGATCTGTTTGGATTTCCAGAATGCCTTTGACAAGGTGCTGCACAGGGAGACGCCAAATATGATGAGAGCCCATGGTGTCAGGGGCAGGTATAGGTATAGGCATGCTTAGAGGATTGTCTGACTGGCAGGCTGCAGAGAGTAGGGGTAAAGGTGTCTTTGTCAGGATGGCAGCCAGTGACTCGTGGACTTTGCAGGGGTTCACGTTCGGACCACAACTATTCACATGATATATTAATGATTTGGATGAATGAACGGAGGGCATTGTTACTAAATTTGCAGATTATACAAAAGATAGGTGCAGGGACAGATAGTGTTCGGGAAGCAGGGAGTCCGCAGAAGGACTTGGACAGGCCAGGCGATTGGGCATAGAAGTGGCAGATGAAATACAATGTGGGTAAGTGTGCGGATCTTCAATTTGACAGGAAGAATAGAGGCGTAGACTATTTTGTAAACAGTGAAAAACCTGCTGAAATCTGAAACACAAAGGGACTTGAAAATTCGAGTTCAGGATTCTCTTAAGGTGAATATGCAGTTTCAGTTGGCAGTCAGGAAGGCAAATGCAATATTAGCATTTATTTCATGATGTCTAGAATACAAGAGCAGAGGTATATTTCTAAGGCTGTTTAAGGCTCTGGTCAGACCATGGAATATTGTGAGCAGTTGTCGGCTCCGTATTTAAGGAAGAATGTGCTGTTGTTGAAGGGGGTCCAGAGCAGGTTTCCAAGAATAATCCTGGGGATGAAGGACTTGTCATATGAAGAGATTTTGTGGTCTCTGTTTCCACACTCAATGGAATTTCGAAGGATAATTGGGATCTTATTGAAACTTACAACATGCTAGGAGGCCTCGATAGAGTGGACACAGCAAATGTTTCCACGAAGAGAAAACACTAGGATCCGAGGGCCCAGCATCCGAGTGAAGGGACGACCCTGAGAACTGAGACAAGGAGGCATTTCATCAGCCAGAGGTTGGCGAATCTGTGGAACTCATTGCCACAGAGGTCTGTGCTGGCCAAGTCATTGAGTTTATTTAAAACAGATACACATAGGTTCTCGATTGATAAGGAAATCAGTCGGTGCAGGGAGAAAACAGGAAAATGGGATTGAGAAACATATCAGCCACGATAGAATGGTGGAGCAGACTCAATGGGCCGAATGGCTTAATTCTGCTCCTATGTCTTATGGTCTCAAACTCTTGAGGAGTATTTTGTTATTCAAATGATTTTGAGTGATGCAAATCCATTCTGGTTTGTGTTGATGCCAAGTGAAGACGAGCTACAGTCTCAAATAGCAGCAATGGAAAAGTTTGAAATTAGGAGGATTTTAGAAAGCTTAGTGGCAGAAAAGAATGAATGAAAAGAGAATATGTCTCAAGGAGAAATCTTGTTGCTGATTGATCATTGCCACCTTTCTAGCCCAACTAACAATGATTTAGAGAGCGTCATGGGCTGGTGAACTAATGCACAGAACATGTTTTGCAGGCCTGATAATCTGCATTGTTAGAAATACTTAAAATATTAATATTCAGCACTAATTCTAGTTACTTAAATTTGAAACAAGTTGCTTGAAACCATTTTCTGGATTGAAACCCATAGAATAGTTAATATCCTTGTGTGGAATCTGGTTAATATTTCTCAGTCCAGAAAGAAACTGGACAAGACCCTCCTTATGTAATAAATTATGAATGTCATGAGTATGTTCAACTCTTAGCAGTAATTGACAGGCTTGACCTCTCTGGACGATCCTTCATGATTGTCGTATCAATAGTCTGACTTCTTAACATGTTCATGTAATATGTTTAGCTGTGCGGTAAATTTGCCTGCCAACAATTCAAACTGATGAAAGAAACTTTGTTCAATCAATTTAATTGAATTGATAAGTCTTAATTAATTTTAATTCCTTGGCGTATGTTATGAAAAATGTCAGTTATCTGGGTTAATTTTGTGTTTTTCCTTCAGAAGCTATATCCTTTGTATAGAACTGTTGATCTCATCATAGTTTCTCATGATAAGATAGTAATAACTTTCTGCGTCGAGTTCAAGTTTTAAAAATCTGTTATTCCTCTTAAATACAGTTTAGATTTTCTCTGTGCTGATCTGTTATATGGAATTAGGAGCATGATGTCCTTGGAAAAAATTATATGGAAAAAATGAAGTCGCACAAAATAATAAATCAGAACAAATCCATGAATTAAATATTGATTTCTGCATATATTGATGCTTTATGCGAAGAAAAATTTGTTGTCTATCAAAATCTTTGGGTTAAATGAAAATTTTGGTTATGAATCCACTTACATGACTTGCTGCCGCGGAAAGGCTGCCATCAAAAACCGGTCGCACACCGGTAATGATCTGCTACAACTTCTTCCGTCAGGCAGAATGTACAGAAGCTTGAACACACGCACCAGCAGGTTCAGGAACAGGTTCTTCCCGGCCATTGTCAGACTCATGAATGGACTCTGTGTCGAAGTCTTTTTGTCCTGTACATTCTTTGCTTACAATGATCTGCCTGTTCTGCCCGTAAACAAAGCTTTTCACTGTATTTCACTCTATTTTCACTGTATCACATGTGACAATTAATCTATCAATCTAAACTCGTATGATCGATGTGAATGCTGTCACTGAGTGCATTTGTCTGTGTTTTTAGTACACACTTATTAGTTGATCGCTGCCTTGTTTCTGAGAAGTTTTGAATCCATTATACTTAATGCTATTTCATTAGTTCTGAATTCGTTCTTTAACAGCTCACCTTTCTCATTTGTCACTTTCAAGATGCTGCTTCGAAGACTGACGTTTGTCCATGCTTCTTTTTAAAATGGTCTTTCTGTTTTTGATCTTTTTAATACGACTCATTTTGACAGACCCTCTTTAAACAATAATCCTCATGAAACCACAAACAAAACTCCAATAAAGCTCCCCTACCCACTGTGCTTGCTTTCCATTAACAATTAGGGCAATATTTGAGTGACTGTATCAGTTTTCTACTTTCCAAGCGTAGCGTGTAATCATAGATTATAGAATCCCTACAGTGTGGAATCAGGCCCTTCGGCCCAACAAGTCCACACACTCTCAGAACATCCCACCCAGACCCATCCCCCTAATCTTCACCTCCCTGAACACTCTGGGCAATTTAGCACAGCCAATCCACTTAGCCCGCACATACTTGGACTGTGGGAGGAAACTGGAGCACCCGGAGGAAACCCACACAGACACGGCGAGAATGTGCAAACTCTAAACAGACAATCACCCAAGGTTGGAGTTCAACCCGGGTTCCTGGCGCTGTAAGGTAACAGTGTTAACCAGTGAGGTACCGTGCCACCCCATTTTGCAATCATTGCTTTCATGCACAATTATGAATGCATTTGTTAGAAATCATTTTCAGATGTTGTGAAATACAAAATGGAGTCCAGAAAACTACACTGCGTGCCATTTTCCTGACAGCTCAAACATGCAAACAACCCTAAACTATAGCATAACAATTTTGGATCAAGCAATTTCACAAATGTGCTACTCAGGTTCTCAGAGACTCAAATCAATTCAAACATTTTGGTACAAAGACAAAGTTGCTGGAAAAGCAAGCAGGTCTGGCAGCATCTGTGATGGGAAAAACAGAGTTAATGTTTTGCGTCCGGTGACCCTTCCTCAGAAAACATTTTGGTATGTGTTTAAACTTGAATTGCAGCAAGTGGACTTCCAGTCAAACCTTCAATTTTGCCTCTGTTTTGATTACTAATATTGTGACGAGAAGCAACTGAGAAACAAACGGATAACACTATCAGGGACAGATCTGGAACCAATCAATCTGTCTGTGGACTAATGGGAGTACCAGCATTACCCAGATTCAGTAATTCATTGGTAAAATGTTGGCAAAATTGGGTTTGAAGGTCTTGATCCATAGAACAATTCTATACCATTGCTAATTCAAAATAATTGGTAAGTAGTTCTTGAGCCAACCACCATTGTGTTTGAACTGCAAGTATACAAATTGAGTTTAATTTAGCAGTTCTTCTTTTGCAGGGGACAAAATGTACTTCAGAATGTTTATCCCCCAGTCAAAATTATCTTGGCATTAGCAACCTTTCCCAAAGCTGCTCTTGTCATTTGGTTGTGCTGTAGTTCTGTTATTGCTGATACCCATTACGATTATCCTACAGCCCTCGAGTATAAAGCATCAAGAGTTCATTCAACGAGTGCCATCAAGGTTTGCGTTATCAAGAACACACCTCACCATCTTAGAACTGCAATTTCCATGTGACCCTATTGAAGAAAATGACTGAACACTACTTAATCCTCATTCCTTGGTTAAATAACAATTTTGACATTGCTTTCATCTCAGCAGATTGTTCTTAATTTGTTCTGCTCAGCTCCATCTCTCTGAAATGGAACACAGATTAAAAATTAAGGTTTGTGAACATACCCAAAGATTATTTTCGGGTATTGAGTCAAAAAACAAAAATAACTGATTTTGTACGGCCCTTTGTCACATCCTCAGGGCATCAAGTTGGTTTACAGTCAATAAGTAAAACCAGTTTTACAGTAAGCTTGTTCACCACTTTATGAAATATGTTTTATTTACTGTCAGGTTGCACACTTTTCAAAATAATTTGTCTTATTGGCAGTTGAAAAAAATGCATGATCCAATCATTTAGCAATGTAAGTAACAAAGGAATATTGTGATTCAGTGCAGAAAACCATCTAAATTATCAGTAACTTTGAATTAAGAGGTGCACGCTAAAGCTGCCATACAAGTGCACGTAAGGCCATCTGCTGGACATTACCGCTTCACTGTGCTGTGTCATTAAGCCATGCTGTTGACAAACATCCGAGCCTTCAGGCCAGATCACGGGTAAATATCTTCCCTTCCAAACTGAGGTTTATAGTTTAGCATCTTAGAATAATTAAAAATTATTGAATGATGAAGCAAGATCTACGACCTGCCTTTGCCTGGATCCATATTATTGTCTTTGATACTTAAATAATTGTAAAGATTGCCAGACTGTTTGGATTCCTGGTCATGAATGTGCCATTTGAAGTCGACATTGCAATGCTTGAAATTTTCGAAGCTATAGAACATAGAACATAGCACAGTACAGGCCATTCGGCCCACGATGTTGTGCCGGAATTTTACCTCAATGCTCAGATTTATCTAACCTCCACCCCTACCTTATACTATCATCCATATGCCTATCTAATAGCCGCTTAATTGCCCCTACTGAGGCTGACTCCACTACCCTCTCTGGCAATATATTCCACGCCCCAATCACTCTGATGTCTCCCCGATATCTCCCTCCACTCACTTTAAAACTGTGCTCCCTCATAATAGCTACCTCCACCCGAGGAAAAAGTCTCTGGCTGTCTACTTTATCTATACCTCTGATCATTTTGTACACCTCTATCAAGTCACCTCTCATCCTTCGTTGTTCTAATGAGAAAAGCCCTAGCGCTCTCAATCTTTCCTCATAAGACCTTCCCTCCATTCCAGGCAACATCCTGGTAAATCTCCTCTGCACCTTGTCCAACGCTTCCACATCTTTCCTGTAATGAGGCGACCAGAACTGGACACAATACTCCAGATGTGGCTGAACCAGGCTTTTGTACAGCTGGAGCATAACTTCACGGCTCTTGAACTCAATCCCTCTATTAATGAAAACTAACACACCATACGCCTTCTTAACAACTCTATCCATCTGCGTGGCAGCTTTCAGGGAACTGTGGACATAAACCCCAAGATCTTGCTGCTCCTCCACACTGCCAAGAATCTTTCCGTTAACCTTGTACTCTGATTTCAAGTTTGTCCTTCCAAAATGAATCACCTCACAGTTGTCATTGAGGACGTCTCCTATCTCTTTAGGCTCTGTGCACAAATTTCCTTTACAATCCTTGATTGGCCCTGCCCTTTCTCTGGTCATTCTCTTATTCCTCCTGTATGTGTAAAAAGCCTTGGAGTTTTCCTTGATCCTATCTGCCAAGGTTTTCTCATGCTCCCTTATAGCTCTCCTAAGCCCTTTCTTCAGCTCCTTCCTGGATAACTTGTATCCCTCGAGAGCCTTTTCCGTTCCTTGTTTCCTAAACCGTACATAAGCATCCTTCTTCCTCTTAACCAGTCGTTCGAAATCTCTTGAGAACTAAGGCTCCCTCACTTGACCGCATCTTCCCTGCCTGCTAGGGACAAGCATATTGAGCACACGCAGTATGCATTCCTTAAACAATCTCCACATTTCAGTAGTGCTCTTCCCTGACAGCATCTGTTCCCATTTTATGCTACCCAGTTCTTGCCTAACTGAATTGTAATTACCCTTCCCCCAATTATAAACCTTGCCCTGCTGTGCATACCTATCCTTTTCCATGACTATTGTAAAAGTAACAGAGTTATGATCGTTTCCGCCAAAATGCTCTCCTACCAATAGGTCTAACACTTGGCCCAGTTCATTGCCAAGCACCAAATCCAAAGTGGCCTCTCCTCGTGTTGGTCTCTCTACATACTGTGTCAGGAATCCTTCCTGAATGCACTGGACAAAATCTGCTCCATCTAAACTATTACAACTAAAATGTTTCCAATCAATATTTGGAAAGTTGAAGTCACCTATGACTACAACCTTTCCAGTATCTGCCTTCCAATCCGCTCCTCGACATCTCTGCAACTATTAGGGGGTCTGTAAAAAACCCCCAACAAAGTGACTGCTCCTTTCTTGTTCCGGACCTCAACCCAAACTGATTCTGTAGACATATCATTCTCGAACTGTCTTTCAGTAGCTGCTATACTAGCCCTGACTAGCAATGCCACTCCCCCATCTCTTTTTCCACCCTCCCTATTTCTTTTAAAGCATCTAAATCCTGGAACTTCCAACAACCATTCCTGTCCCTGAGTTACCAAAGTTTCAGTAATGGCCACAACATCGTAGTTCCAAGTACTGACCCATGCTCTAAGTTCATCCTATGCTATGTTAAGCTGTGTTAAGCTATATCTTGCTATGGTCAAAGCACAAGTAGGACTCCAGTGAACCCAATTAATCTACTAATTTATTAAATGCTGCGTATTTTCAACTACATTTTGAAACTGAAATGGTGTTATGACGAGGTGTGGAAAGGGAATCGCTTCCCTCTTTTTAAACCCCCTTTCAGTGAATTTCAGATATCCTATTTTTCCCTTTTATCACTCCACTCCAGTGAAAAAGTTAGTTTGTTCAAAAATTAAGGAGTCACTTATCAAGC